CTCTCTCATGCGTGCACACACACTCCGTAAGTAAGAGAACACCGCTTCGCCTCCCCGATGGACAGCTGGACTGTTCCCAGGGTTTCAGTGCTATCACGAATAAAGCTGCCATGAACATTATGGCGCTAGTCCTTGTACGGACATGTGTTTTCATTTCCTTTGGGTAAATCCCCAGGTGTGCCATGGCTGAGTTATCAGGTATCTGTGTGTTTCACTTTATGAGGAATTACGAGATCAATTTCCACAGGCGTTGTACTGTTTCACCCTCCTGCCAACCACGTATGTGTGTGTTCTGATTGCTCCCCGTTCTTGCCAGTACTTGAGGTTGTAGAATTCTTGTCGTAGTCTGTTTTGTGCTGCTATGACAAAAAGCCACAGACTAGTCATTTATAATCACCAAAAATGTATTGGCTCACGCTTCTGGTGGCCGGGAAGTACAATATCGATGTGTTGGCATCTGGTGAGGACCATGTCGCTGGGCCATAACATGGTGGAAGGCATCTCAGGGCAGAAGGGCACAGAGACAGAGAGAGAGAGAGAAAGAGAGAGAGAGAGAGCAATAGAAGGCAGACCCATCCCCAGAGAAGGAACCCACTCCTGCAAGAATGCCATTAGTTCATTCATTCAGGGACTCTGGACTAGTCCCCTCTGACGTGTCCCATCTCTTATACTGTCACAATGGCAACTACACTTCAACATGTGTTCTGGAAGGGACAAACATCAGACCATAGCACTCCACGTTATAAAGAGTTCCTTCAGTGATGTTTTTGGCACAGACAGGTACCATGGACTGGACTCGCTGCAGTTTTCTAAACATCAATGGCCAACATGCATTGAGCACTTACTGTATGTCTGGGTCCACCCAAGAGCTTTAGCAATGTTGCACCATTTAAGTCCCACGACAACCGTATGGAATAGATACTATCGTTATCATTTCTGCTTTACAGTTGGGAAAAGCAGGTGCAGAGAGGTTCAATAATATAGCTTGTCAGGTCGCAAAGATGAGCTATTTTCTTTTTTATTTCTTTTTTATTTTTTGAGCACTCAATGAGCTGGTAAAAATTCTGTCTGTGAAGTTACTGACACCTCACTGGGCATAATCAGTCATTGCTGCTATTACTATTTTTATTCCAATCCCAGCCATCTTTCAAAATTCAGTTCAAATTTCATTTCTTCCATGACATGTTCTCTGACTCCCTTTCATCTCCTCCTTGTCTCTGTGTAATCCTTGAGTGTAATCATAAATCCTTCAGGAATAGTTCAGACTTCTGGGTTGCCTCTTATTTCCGTACTTCTGTTACCACCCCTGTGGAAAGGTCACTGAGAGCAGCGACGTGCCGTGTTTATCTTTCTATTCCTGGCACGTTTGTTGACTTGAACTTAATGCTTTTTCTTCTTTCCTGTCTTTCTTTCTCCCTCCCTCTTGCCCTCTTTCTTTCCTTTTTTTTCTTTTTATTGCCAGAGGGCACATGCACCTGAGAGAGAGAGAGAGAGAGAACACCCCCCCCCAATAGGAATGTGGTCATTCCACAATCCCCCTTCCTCCCTTCCTTCAGGACTTTAGGCATACACACACACACACACACACGTGCACGCACACACACACACACACACACACACACACACACACACCTGGCATGTTTTTCCAGCTCCTGGGACCAGGCCTCAAACCACGGTCAGTTATGTGGGATCCAGATCCTGACACACAATACTTAATGTTCTATGAGGATGGCTCAAATTTAATATTTTTCTAAATATTCTAGAAGAAGAATCACAGAGTCCTTTAAAAACAGCTATCTTATTGAGAATCACAGACTCTTTTCCTATAAGGAACAAAACAAAGCACTCCTTGGGGCAGCAGGTGGCATGGTGGTTAAGGTCCTGGACTCCTACATGGCTGACCATGGTTTGAGTCCCGGATGTGGCAACTTACTTTCTCACTTTTCCCCTTGTTCTCTGTCTCTCTCTGGTCAAATAAAATAATAATAATAAATTAATTAAATTAAATAATTATGTTTTTAAAAACATTCTTCTACTTTGTTACTACTGAGTGGAAATAAATAAGCTGTTCTCTTTTTAATTTAGGTTTTTGCCATGGGGTGCCTGCGCTCACCAGAGAGAGACTAAGAGAAACAGAGATAGGGAAAGTGAGAAATCACCTCCCAGTAAAATTGGCCACGCTGGAATCCCTTGTTCTCCATTCTCCTCTCAGGACTTTGGTCACACACACACATGCCAGGTATTATTTTCAAGCCACCAGGTCCAAGACTCGAACCACAATCAGTCATGTGGGAGTATAGTGCCATCTGCCATCTTAAGACTCCCTTAGACTTGACACTACAAGGGAATTCCATCTGTGGGTGTTCTTAATTCTCTAGTGAAGCACTGTCTCCTGTCTCCTGCCTGTCTGCCTCCTCGAAGGGCCCTGCTTGTTTTAGTCTGGTCTTAACGTACCAGTTAGTTTCCAGCCAGTGGCACAACTACCAGAGCATCATCACTTTGTCCCACCCTGATCACTGTAAAGCTACACAGTCTGTGGGCCCCAGTACAACATGAAAACACAGGTCTTCTGTTTAAAATGTATTAAGAACGTTAAGAGAGTAACAGAAGCACATTGAACCAAGCATGGGACTCTCCACTCCACAGCACAGGTCCCCCATCTGCCCGTGAAGCCAACCTCCTCGAAAAGGTCCAGTGCCCACTTCTACAGACAAAAACCAATCACAGAAATTTGAGCATGGGGACAATTTATCTCCAAAGCCTTCAGCGTCTCTTCTTAATATAAATATAGCTGAAAACGAAACTGCTCCTTGTTCTATGTTAGATGAAGGCTGACAATTATACGGGATGAATTGTGTCCTCCAAAAAGATGTTGAAATCTCAACTCCCAGTACCTAGAAATGCAACGTATTTGGAAATAGGGGCTTTACGAAAGCTCAGGTTGAGATGAGGTCCTTAGGGTGGCCTTACTCCACTATGATTGGTGTGCTTATCAGAAGGGGAACCTTGGACGCAGAAAGGATGCCTAAGGATAATGCGAAGGCACACGCACAAGGACAAGGCCATGTAAACACTAAGACAGAGGTCAGGGTGGTCACCACCAA